AAATAATTCTTCTTTGTACTGCATTTATAACATGTAGTTATAAATTAGTAGATTACACAGTCAGGTTAATGTTTGTTAAATGAAAAAGTAAATGCAATTTTATCCTTGCAACTACCGTGTATTGGAATGTTCACTATCCTATTTCAGATGAGGGAATTGTGGTTCTGAGAATCTATAAACATTGCCCAAGTAGAAGCAGCCAGAAAGTGCTGAAACAAATGTTCAAACTAAAGCACCACATTTTCTTTTCTCAACATCCTCATGATCTGAGAGTGGAGAGGAATTATTTACTTATAAGAAATTCTTAGAATAAGAATATTCTGCACAGTTTAAACTGCATGCCCTTAGTAGCATATATTTCCTTGAGCAATTATTCACTCATAAAATAGTTTTCTTCATTTAACATGTCTACTAACTGTATTTGATGCTTCCATTGTCCTTGGTGCTTTACCTTGGACATCCACATAGCAAGGTAGAGTTGGGGCCATAGTTACTGTATATAAGGCGTGGGATTATATTCCATCTACATTTCTGCCCTAATCTCTCCTTCTCAGCAGTTATGGAGAATAAACCGTGAGTTCTAGAAAAAGACTTTACTTGTTCATCTCTCTTCAACATCCTTGTGCCCAAAGCCCACATGATTCTGAATATTCTTCAGGAAAGCTGTATTCTAGGTCCTATTGTGCATCAGTTTAGAGTGGTGACTGTTCTAGTGACCATTTCATTTGTTTGTTCAAGGAAGCAATGCCAGGTGTTGCTCTGTGGAAAGTGAGTATTGTTAATAACTGCACTGTCTGAAACCATACTTAGGAAACAAAAAGTTTAGACAAAGAACAGCCATGAAGATAAAATCCTGGACATGACACTATGAGTGTGAAGAGCGCCACTCCCAGGGATTTGCGGGGTCCAGACCACTGATGCTCCCGCCGCATGAGAAAGGTTCACAGAAAAAGCACTCTCTGCTCCCCTCCATTGTCCCTGGTCCATGCTCCTTTCATTGGTGGGAATGTTCCTCTAGTACTTCCCTCTAGAGTTATAGTGCTGAGGACAGTCTGATTCAGTTTCTTCCTTACTGGTGTAAATGGAGAAATTATCCTGAAAAAATTCCCATCTCTCAGTTTCCTTACATTTTTTCTTCCTAGGATTTCTTTTTTGTTTTCTTTCTCTCCCCTCCTTTCTTCCTGTCTTTCCTTTCTTATTTTTAAAATAAAATTATATGTATTTAAGGAGTACAAAGTGATGTTTTGATAAACATACACACTGTATCACACCGAATACTACAGTTACACTAATTAACACATCCATTGCTTCACATGGCTACCTTTTTTGTGGTGGGAACTCTTAAGATCTACTGTCTTAGCAAATTGTAAGCATATGATAAAATACATTAGCATCCCCACTTTTCATATTAGATCTCTAGGACTTATTCATAGTTTTAACAGAAATTTTATACACTTTGACAAACATCTCTCTATTTTCCCCCATCCATGCCCCTAACCACCAATCTACTCTTTGCTTCTATGAATTTGACTTTTTAAGATTTCACACATAAGGTGAGATTATGCAATATTTTTCTTTCTGTGGCTGGCTTATTTTACCTAGGTAAGTGTCATTTTCTTTAATTAGATTCCCAAGTGCCCTTGAACTTTCCACCCTCATTCTACTCCCAATGCCGAACACCTTTCACAACATACTCTCCTGGGCAGGGACCATAGGGCCCCAGGATCCAGGTGTCTAATAATGGCACTAACTCTTGTGAGTAGCATGAAGGGAAGAGATTACTGGAGTCAGGGTCCATAAAATCAGTGTCCGCTGCTCTGGTAGAGAACAGCCAGAAATAGCAGCAGTACAGCCTTCTGAAGCTGGTGAGTCTCAAGGTGGGGCCAAAGAAATTATGAGGAAGAGGATGCTGAGGAGTGGAGGGGGAATCCAGGAGCCTGGTGTGAAAAGGAGAGAGAACTCTTTTAATACGGCATGGTGTAGTAGATGACAACCTTGCCACAGTACTTAGGTTCTGGTACAAGTGTTAGCAACCTACGGCTGTGATTTCCCTCAGAGCTGAGGCTAAGTCACTTTATGGCTTGTAGACTCAAAACTTCTGTAGGCTCAAAGATCCCAAAGTGTATCATAGCTATGAGGCCAAAGCTCGGTGCCTAGCTAGGTCATAGTCTTCCTTTCTTCCCTAGTCTAAATTCATTTATAAGCCTAGGTGACTGCTCCTTCTTCTAGGCAATCATAGCTGGGCTCAAATATTCTATTACCATTTTGGTTAGTTCAAAGTCTGTCTGACTTTTTCAGACTTCCAATGACTTATGGTAAGAGACCATGTTTTGCTCATTGACAACTTGAATGAGGAACCACAATGACCACTCCTTGGTGAATATCAATCTGTGAGTATGAACTGATGGAGTTGGAGTATTGAAGATCCAAAACGATGCCACAGATGGCCAATAATTCTTCATTTCTCAGATTAGGAGTCCTCAGTATCATTAAGAAAAATTCGGAGGGAAGAAAAATGGTTCCAGCTATTAAGAAATTACAAGAGAACTAGGAAGCATAGTTGAAAGTATATTATTACCTGGAAGAATCCATCAGTGTTACAGGAAGTTCAAAAAGAACACGTATCTTCTCATATTTGTTAAAAAATCTGGGAAGCATTCCTGACTCCAGCCTTTCTCTGTCTCCATAATCTTTCTTCCACCAAATTTTCTTATAGCCCTCCTCACCCCTCAAAATTATCCTTTCTTCTCCATTTACATGGCTATTACTTTTGTTTGGACCTTAATCACTTTTCCTTTAAACTACTAAGAACTCTCCAAAAAGGCTCCCGACCTTCTGTGTTTCCCTTTGACCTATCTGTTATGGTCTCAATGTTTGTGTCCTCAGAAAATTCATACGTTGAAATCCTAACCTCTCTCCCACCTCCAAGGTGATGATATTAGAAGTGGAAACTTTTTTGAGCTAATTAGGTTATGAGGGCTCTTAGTTGAGATTGGTACCTCTATAAAAGAGATGGTAGAGAGCAGCTAGCCCCTTCCACCATGTCAGGACATAAGGAGATGGTGCCACCTCTGAACTAAGAAATGAGCTCTAGCCAGACACTGAATCTGCTAGCATTTGGTCTTATACTTCTTAGCTTCCAGAACTATGAGATTTGAATGCTTGTTGCTTATAAGTCACCCAGCTTATGATATTTTGTTTTAGCAGCTAAAGTGGTCTAAGATATCAACTATCACATATCACATCCCTGTTCAAATATTCTGTGATTCCCTACAGTGTACGTGACAATGCCTACTATCAGACAGACCTCGAAAGATCGTCTCAAGGCTGCCACTGCTTCTCTTTAAACATCATCCTCTGATACTCTACTCTCCCACCTCTGTTTCCCCCAAAGAACTTAAGATTCAGTAGCTCCTAATGCCTCATTTCTTAACATCCATGGAGGCAGGCGTTTTGTTCTTACCTTTGCCTAAAAGGACAGTCTTTATTCTCCCCCAGAAAATGTTACGTCTTTTTTTCTGTCCTTTGTCGCTCTTAGCTTGTTGCATCTTTTGGCTTAACAGAACTTGAGGATATGACAGTCCCTTTCCCTTCCCACAATAACACCTAAAGTTAAGTACCACTTATTCTATTTCATTTGTGAGAAAACTGGGCACTATGAAGTTGAAATAGCTTTTAGGTTTACATGATCAGTGTAAGAGCCAGAATTGTCATTTGTTTCTGCTCAAGGATAACTTTTAAACCATATTACACTGCTTCATTCATCTGAAATACTGCCTCTTTCCCACTATTTTATGATTGCCATTATTAGAGCCACAGCTATATTGCATTATAAATGTTTGCAAGTCAATTTTCTCTATTAGTTAGGTAAGCTCTCAGAAGATAATGGTTTTTGTTTATGCTATGTACTACCACCTTTAGCATTCTGTCCAGGAACTAAGAAAACACTATTTTCTCACTTGTTTGAATAGATCAAGCCATTCAGAGTAGTTATACTTGAGATTATTGGAAAGGAGAAGGCTTTACAGGTAAAGGATCAGTCATTGTAGCTATGCTGATTACACGCTTCCTGGTCTCCTTCTTTTACCCTGCCATGACTCCTTGGTTACTTTCTGTCCCTTTGGTAGTGACAGCCATTTCTGTTACCCTCCTTACTACTTGGCCTCTCTCTTCATTTAGTAGTCAGGGAAAACAAATGATACCCACAAAAGAAACAGCTGGAATCAAAGCAGATGAGTTTACAGAATGTAGATTACATATGCTAAGGATAATTGGATCCTGGTCACAAGGAAGAACATGTAATTTTACTTACCAGGTAAGTGGGTTCCTGCAAAGATTTACTTGCCTAAAATTCACTCCCTGACTTTTATTTCATCTTTGGTGAACTTCAGCTCATCTGATGAGAGCAGGTCCTCATGTAACATCATTTCACACAACATTGTGTCATTATAACATTAAGGAAAAAAATACTGATTTCAGGCAAAGACCACTGTCTGTGTGGTGTTTTCATGTTCTCTCCATGTCTGCCTGGGTTTCCTCCAGGTATTCCAGTTTCCTTCTACATCCCAAAGACGTACAGCTTAAATCTAGATTGTCCCAGTGTGACTGAGTGGTTGTGTGTGTGAGTGCTCGCTGTAAAGCAATGGTGTCCTGTCTGGGATTGGTTCCCTGAGCTTTGGGAACTAACCCAAAGCTGCTGGGGTAAGCTTGGACCACCTGTAACTCTGATCTGGAACAAGTGGGTTGGGAAATGAACGAATGAATAAAAATCATTATACAGGGTAAAGTAAAAATTAGTAAAGTGTACTGAAATCATATAAATGCATGACAATAAATGATATTTGTGATTGCTGGTTTTTAAACTGTGTGGTGGTAGAAGGTTCTTCTTACAATTTTCCTTTATCTCTACTTTATTCTTAAAACATCAGGATAACAATATTAATTACACTTTAGTATTTTTTAAAAGGATGAAATGAGATAATGAATATAAAACATTATGGCTGGCATATGATACATACTTGCTTAAATATAAGGGAGGATGATCGTGATTTTAAAAACTTTATTAGAACAGATAAAGCGTCTCAGTGGAAACCCAAACTCTACTACATCTAGAACATATAATTTTTATGTTTCTGTACTTCTCTCCTGCATTTTAAGGTACTCTGGGTCTCTAGATTGATCAGGAAACTTTACATGGCATCACCCAGCAATGACTCCACTGCCCCAGTCTCTGAATTCCTCCTCATCTGCTTCCCCAACTTCCAGAATTGGCAGCACTGGCTGTCCCTGCCCCTTAGCCTCCTCTTCCTCTTGGCCATGGGGGCCAACGCCACCCTCCTGATCACCATCCGGCTGGAGGCCTCTCTCCACCAGCCCCTGTACTACCTGCTTAGCCTCCTCTCCCTGCTGGACATCGTGCTCTGCCTCACCGTCATCCCCAAGGTCCTGGCCATCTTCTGGTTTGATCTCAGGTCAATCAGCTTCCCTGCCTGCTTCCTCCAGATGTTCATCATGAACAGTTTTCTGACCATGGAGTCCTGCACGTTCATGGTCATGGCCTATGACCGTTATGTGGCCATCTGCCATCCATTGAGATACCCATCTATCATCACTGACAAGTTTGTGGCTAGAGCTGTGGTCTTTGTTATAGCCCGAAATGCCTTTGTTTCTCTTCCTGTTCCCATGCTTTCTGCACGGCTCAGATACTGTGCAGGAAACACAATCAAGAACTGCATCTGCACTAACCTGTCTGTGTCCAAACTCTCTTGTGATGACATCACTTTCAATCAGCTCTACCAGTTTGTGGCAGGCTGGACCTTGTTGGGCTCTGACCTTATCCTTATTTTTATCTCCTATTCTTTTATACTGAAAGTTGTGCTAAGGATCAAGGCAGAGGGTGCTGTGGCCAAGGCCTTGAGCACGTGTGGTTCCCACTTCATCCTCATCCTCTTCTTCAGCACAGTGCTGCTGGTTCTGGTCATCACGAACCTGGCCAGGAAGAGAATTCCTCCTGACGTCCCCATCCTGCTCAACATCCTGCACCACCTCATTCCCCCAGCTCTGAACCCCATTGTTTATGGTGTGAGAACCAAGGAGATCAAGCAGGGAATCCAGAACCTGCTGAGGAGGTTTGTAGGAGTAGGAAGGATGAGATCCACTTTTGGAGTTGTTAATGAAAAATAGAAAAATAGGGAATTATTTTTATGCTGGAAAGAAAATTTCACTTTTAAATCCTGGCCTGAGTTCTGATTCTTCTTTTCCCAATATCTCAGTTAACAATGAACACATTCATTTGTGGATCTTTGTTTTCTGTTGCTTGAAAGGAAATCTCCCTTTCCTGGATTCTATGATTACCACGGAATTTTTTCCTAATCTGATTTGTAACAAAGAACCTTGCCAAACCTTTGACAAATGGAGCTGTATTAGAATGTAAGTGTTTGATCACTAGAGACAAACTATACAATGCATTTAAAAAGATCTACCTGTCTTCTGATTTGCAAATGACAGTGATTCCTTTCCTGTCTCTGATTCAGCTTGGCAGACAGCTATCTGGCTTTGGTGCCATGAAGACATTGCTTGGGATAAGTACAGATGTTGACCCTGGAACAACGTGGGGTTGAGTGCTTTGTCCTGAACACCCCGACTCTCTCTCATGGCACCTGAGTCAGATGTGCTATTCACTGGCTCCTCAGTTCTTCCTAGAGCCAGTTAAGATTTTCAGTCTGTACCACCTGAAATAATAGGCAGCACTTCCTATTATTTCTCTCTACTTAGATTTGCTTCCTTCAGTTTTCGGTTTGTAAAGGAGGTTGACAACGTTTTAGGATTTTTAGGTTGGGGAGGAGTTGTATTGTTTGAAGTGCTTTGTGTTCTTTTCTTCATCATCTTCATCTGTGTGTCGTCATAATACTCATTCCTATCCCACCTTGAACTGCCCATCCTAGGCACAACGGACGGTCCCATTCATTCCCTCTGTGGTTGTTTGCTGCAGCCTCCCTCCTGAGCTGCAGCTGGCAAAGCTGCAAACAAATTTTCCAGACATGAAAGTTCTAGGGTTTGTTTTTCACAGTATAGTGTATTCTACTATTTTGCCATTTCCTTCTTAATGATGCCACACAGTTCAGTATCTCCAAGGAAGATTAATCAATCTTAATCTGTCTCTTTGGGGGATGAAAATCAAGATTTCAAGTCCATCATTTGTCCAAGCATTGTTTGACAACTGTCCCAATTGGACTATTCTACTTTCATTTGTACTGAAGCTTATCTTTGCTGAATGACTTGTATTAAAATTAACATCTCTACAGTGTTTAAAAATTTTTATGTTACAGCATTTTTAATTGCAGACCTCTTATATTCTAGCCCTAACATACTTTAGACTTATCTTAAACTTTGTTTTTTCTGCCCCTGTAGCCCAAATGAACTGCTCATTATTTATTGAAAAGCACTTATTCTCATTTTGCTCTCTCTCCTCTATCATTTGATGCTTCTCACATCAGCCTTTTTTTTTTAGAGGAAGAAAGAGAGAAAGAAAGAAAAAGAATAAAAAAAAAAAGAAAAAGAATAAAGGAAAGGAAGAAAGAGGAAGAGGAGGAAGAGGGAGAGAGAACAGGGGTGTTGCTTTATTGCCCGGGCTAGAATGTAGTCTAAAAATGGGTATGCCTGTAATTGTGTTTAATAATAGAGACATAAAAAAAATGAGGGAAGAAAATAATTAACAAGCAGCCAACCAATATTTCATTTAAACCTGTAAATACGTGTGATATAGTACTGATAAGAGTGTATGTTTTGTGTATTTAAAGTGGAGAGTTCTATGAATGTTAATTAAGTCTACTTGTTCCGGATCTGAGTTCAAGTCCTGAATATCGATGTTAACTTTCTGTCTCATCGATCTGTCTAATATTGATGTTGAAGTCTCCCACTATTATTGTGTGGGAGTCCAAGTCTCTTTATAAGTCTTATATATCTGGGTATTTCCGTATTGGGTGCATATATATTTAGGATCTTTAGCTCTTCTTGTTACATTGATCCTTTTATCTTTATGTAATATCCTTCTTTGCTTCTTTTGATCTTTGTTGCTTTGAAGTCTATTTTATCAGCAAAAATTGCAACTCCTGCTTTCTATTTATTTATTTTTGCTCTCCATTTGGTTGGTAAATTTTTCTCCATCCCTTTGTTTTGAGTCTTTGTGTATCGTTGCATGTGAGATGGATCAGGATGTAGCATACCAATGGGTCTTGGCTTTTTTTGCCTGTCTGTGTCTTTGGATTGGGGGATTTACTTGATTTAAATTTAGAATTAATAACAATATATGTGTGTTTGATACTGTCATTTAATGTTAGCTGGCTGTTTTGCCCATTAGTTGATGCAATTTCTTAATTATGTTGATGTTCTTTATTTTTAGGTATTTTTTAGAAAGGCTGATACTGGTTGTTCCTTTCTATTTATAGTGGTTCTTTCAGAAGCTCTTGTAAAGCAGGCCTGGTGGTGATGAAATTGCTGAGTGCTTGCTTGTTCACAAAAGATTTTATTTTTCCTTCGCTTATGAAGCTTAGTTTGGCTGGATGTAAAATTCTGGGTTGAAAGTTCTTTTCTTTAAGGATGTTGAATATTTGCCCCCACTCTCTTCTGTCTTGTAGGGTTTCTGCTGAGAGATCTGCTGTGAATCTGATGGGCTTCCCTTTATGGGTAACCTGACCTTTCTCTCTGGCTGCCCTCAGTATTTTCTCTTTCATTTCAACCTTGGTGAATCTGGCGATTATGTGCCTTGAGGTTGGTCTTCTTGAGGAATATCTATGTGGTGTTCTCTGTATTACCTGGAGTTGAATATTGTCCTGCCTTGCTAGGTTGGGAAAGTTTTCCTGAATAATATCCCGAAGCGTATTTTCCAGCTTGGATTGATTCTCTTCATCACATTCAGGTACACCTATCAAACGTAGATTAGGTCTTTTCACATAGTCCCATATTTCTTGGAGACTTTGCTCGTTCTTTTTTATCCTTTTTTCTCTAATCTTGTCTTTTTGTTTTATTTCATGAAGTTGGTCCTCGACCTCTGATATCTTTTCTTCTACTTGATCAATTCGGCTGTTAAAACTTGTGCATAGTTCACGAAGTTTTCGTGTTGTATTTTTCAGCTCCATTAATTCACTTATATTCCTCTCTAAATTGTGTGTTATTGTTAACATTTCGTCAAACCTTTTTTCAAAGTTCTTAGTTTCTTTGCATTGGGTTAGAACAAGTTCTTTTAATTCCCAGAAGTTTCTTATCATCCACTTTTTAAAGCCAGCTTCTGCTAATGGAACACAGTCTTTTTCCATCAGGCCTTGTTCTGTTGCTGATGAGGAACTGTGATCCCCTGTAGAGGGAGAGGCGTTCTGATTTTGGGTATTCTCAGCCTTTTTAGGCTGGTTTCTTCCCTTCGTTATAAATTTATCCATCTGTGGTCTTTATAATTACTGTCTTTATAGTTGGGTTTCTGAATGGACGTCCAACTTGTTGATTCCCGGCGCTAGAATCTGAGCAACGCACTGCACCGGCCAAAACAGTGGCTTTAAGATTGATGGTGCTTTTCTGACTCTGCACCAAAAACCACCGCACCAAGGCAGCGGCAAAACCGCCTCACCAGCCTCAAGAGTCGCACTGGTGACACGTGGGGCTCCTCCGCTGGGAATCTCCTGGTGCGTGAGCAACAAAAATTGATCTGAAAGTGTGGCGTCCTTTCGTTCTCTGCTCTTTCAGTGGGAGCTACAATCCCGGGCTGCTAGTGATCAGCCATCTTGGATCTCTCTCACATCAGCCTTCTTTAACCAGTATCACCATTTGCCAAACCTCATCTTTCCTGCCAGGTTTACTTCAAATGCCACCTCTCACAGAAGGCCTTCCTTCCTCTTTGCTTTATCTTATCCATCCTAATTTAGACTCTTCCTAAGTGAGGGCCTCTGGTTCAGGCACACAGACAATACATAAATCAGACTGTAGCAGGATTCTCTCTGGGCTCTTTTCTTCAGGAAGAGGTGGTAGGGTTGTAAGGGTAAAAGGTAATGTGTAATGATCTCCAACTGTAATCATTATTCTTGCATCTTGTGTGGCTGTATTTCTTTCCCTGACATTGTCATACGTATCTTTTAGGTTAAGAGTATTTTATTCATCTTTAAAATTCTGCATGGCTACTTTTACTGTCTCTTTTACAGAAAAATTTAAAATAAAAATGTGTTGAATAAAATGTGTGGAATATTTTATAAACGATCTTTTATCTCTTATTTTCTTTGATAACTACTTGGAAACAACAATAAAATCTTATACTATTATGTGTCCTTATAGTACCTAACACAGAGTCTTGTTTTTAGCCAGCACAAAATGAACCTCTATACAGTGAAGACTGTTAGGATTGAGACAGTCTGGACAATTGGAATTTTATTCTCAGATAAAATAATTTGGCTAAATTTGCTCACACTTTGTGAACTTTGGCTAAGCTCATAAATTCTGGCTTTATTACCTTGAAAATGGTGTTCATTTATTTTTTATTGTTTTTTCAAAGAGTGAATAAACTAATAAAAGTTTCCGTACAGTAAGTGTATACACATTAAATTATATACACATTGAATGAGTTATTATTATCATTTCCCTAAGCATGCTGCTTCCCCTACTGCCCTCTGAATAACACGTTGATCGTTACTGCACACCTTATTTATCTTGAGGTATAAAGTATTCAAGGAATTCGAGTCCTCCTCTGTCCCTCTAGCTATTTTCATCACTAGCTTATTTTTTTGAGAAGTTGTCTTGCTTATGTGAGGGTTGTCATGTAGGAACTCCAAACCACTGGGTGCCCCATAAGACTGTTAGGTGAACATAGCCTATTTATATCCAGTTCAGTCTGGGTGCACCACGAGGCTCTCCACAAACATCCCTTCTGAAACATGTAGGCACAGCCATTGAAGATATGTGGCTATGATGTCACCCCAGTGCTCACATTCCTTAAGGCTACTGGGCTTCCAATGCCACTTGCCCCTCCAAAGTGTACCAACAACCTCATCTGGTATGTTTGAGAGAGCATGACACAATAATCATAAAATAGTAATCTGTTTTTGTCATGTCCAAGCAGCTGTCTTGGTAAATTATCTTCATGATTCACAGCCACACAGTGTGCAGAGGCTTGACTGTTTTGCAATCCCTGCTCAAAGCAGCGTGAAGAATCCTCACTCTCAGTTTACCTATAAAATAGCAAATGAAGTAAATAGAGTCCATAAGTGCTGTGTTACCTATTTTCTCCAGATTGTCCTATTGAGTTCTTATTTTAGTCCAACTTTTTTTCTTGGAGCAGAATAACTTC